ACCTAATATGTTCGTTACTTCAATCAGCAACGTCCTACCTTCGTAACTAAACCCGCTGGTGAATATCCATCAGGTCCTGCTGCGTAGCACCATTACAAATTGGAAACAGTCTTCTTAATTTTGAAAATAGTTTGATAGCCAACATCTATGTCTCATTCAGGTTCAGGCTGAATCCTGGGCAACTGAAGCGTTTATAAGAGGCCATTTGAACGATGCTTCAAAGTGTTCCGTCTAACGTTCTAGCCACCTACTCTAAGAGGTTGTCAGCGTATCATCCAATTCGGTAGATGGTTTCACTCACCACCGTCTTCTTCTGACCGATAACCCTAATAAGCCTAGAAAATTACCGAGTATTATCTAACGCCGATAACCTCTCCAGCTCTCACTTTCACCACACACCACTACTCGCAACACTTCGAAAACTTCTAATCAATTTACGTTTGAGATGCTTTCGCTGTTCATTGTGATCAGAGCCTGCAGGAAGAAGTCTTCTCACATCAATCACTTCGGACGACATTGTAGAAATCCACTGGGTTTTGCAAACCTTAGAATGTAGGTTATCAACTATCTTTACCGCTGTTACTACAGCAGACAAAAATTACGCCAGGATATATCAGGAGCAGAACTGCTATCGCGATCAAGTAAATGCTTAGCTACCTCCTACCTAAATACGTACTTGATGTTCCCAACTTTCAATCGAGCATGCACAGGCTTAACCGCTGCATGTTCCCTGCGACCAGTCCCCGTACTAACACCCGATCGGAGTCCAAAAAGAGCTGCAATCTTCTATTAGTGGTACATAGCAATATGATCTATTCGTATCCATCAGTGGTTTGTTTCCAGCAGATGTCAATTGAAATAGTTTCTCTTTCACCGATTCACCCCAACGAAGACTTACAGCATTATGATCTATTCGATGTGGTGACTGGATGCCTTATGCTTGAACTTAGTGTTGGCCAGAAAAAAGTGGCAACAGACGACCACTTTTATCGGTTTGTTGGGATGGAATTCCGTAGATACCTCCAAAATGCCTTTCCGATCGGCTCAGCTTATCTGATTGAACGTTAAAGCCACCCACTATTATGACTATATTTGAACGTTATGCTTTATGTAGCGAAATGAACAGCTTTCATAGAACCCATCCTTTGAATCATTCAAACTGAGGTCGGCGGGTGCGTATGCAGAGATCACAAATAAGCATTGGCGAGTTTGACGATCATTCTTACTTATTACAGACATATTCAGTCGAGTGGTATACCAATGGCTGTTAACTGGTATCTATTTAATTGAGAAACGAGCTTCCAGATCTACAAATCAGTGCTATGCCTGCATCAGCAAGTCGATGAGAGCTAACCACTGATTCTCCTAATATTCGTAAAGTGAATTTCGAAGATTCACTGCAATGGCAAGTTGAGGTCAAGTGAAGAGACGCACTTGAGCTCTTTGATTGTGTATCAGAAGCACAACACCATACATCCACAGCGACTCAAGAGTTTTGTCAACAGATACCCATTTACTGATTCTCCATAGGATTCAGACGCTGAGAGCCCCACAGTGAAACCGGAAGCATAGTTTTAGGGGACAAGGAACAGCGTTTTGCTGACTGGGATAGTTAGCGGTAGTTGCAGGGTGAGGGGAACAGAGAAAATGTAAGAGGCTTAATATTAGAAACAGTAGGAAAATGTGAGGTAGGAGAAAAAGATAAGGAAAATAGGTTGTGGTTAATTGGATCTAGGATGCCGCTGGAAGCATTCGGGCAGTGAGCACTTCCACTCATTTCAAACTCTGCAAGGTAGCTGAAAAAGCCATGGAATTAGTATCACATGACATCTGATTGGGGTATGTCATAAGAAAACTCCGTATAATTGTCGAGCTGAATTTTGACTGTGCTGATGCCAGACAAAAAACTTATACTACTGGCACTGAAATAATAATGCAGGATAGTGTGTAGTATTTTTGAGGTCATCTTTTTCTAAACACCATTCCCATACGAAAGGGCGGCATCGACATGGTACTAGTAGTCATCCGCGAGGAACACCCCTCGTCCAGCGAGCAGTAAGGGTTTACTTTGGCAACGTCGTATCTGTATATGCATAACGATATTTAACAGGTGCTTCTGCTATGAGTGGATCAAAAGAAACTATCATGTTCCAGCCAGAGTAGTCAGCAAAGGTCTTTGTGGTATGCAAGTTTGACCTCCAGGTAAGGGTAGCAGCAATCGATCGAGTCACATAATTCTACTACGTAGTTGTGAAGTACAATCATCAAAGGTAGAGGGATATAGGAAAGCTTCAGGTGTTCGATCACACTTATCTTCGCAGCATATCCAGTGTATTAGTGAACTAATGCGTGAAAAACGTAGAATTCAGGCTAACAATAGAAAGTGAAGTGATTAAGCGCGTTGAACACTTCACTTATCTAGGAAGTCGCATCAGCCATGGTGGGTTGACCAGTGGCCGACGAAACTTTTGCACAGATAAAAAGAGCTCCTACAGCATGGCTGTGAAACATGCTCATTAAATGTAGGAGACAAGAACGCTTCAGGTCTTTGACCCAACGCTGCCTTCGTAGTATAGGCCGTGTTTCGTGATGCCACAAAGTGAGGAACGCAGAAGTCAGGTGTAGAGTTTTAGGAAGGAGAGGTATATCAGTTGATACGGTTGTGAACCTTCATCGACTGAGATGGTTAGGATATGTGTTATGTATGCCTAGCCAGCGTCTGGCCGAAGTAGGTTCAGGATAGAAAAAGAATCGAGGCGGGAAGACTAACACATGGGATCAATGTATGAAATCGTTAACTGTTTGTTCGAGCCATGCAGGGCGATGCAGACTAGTCAGTTGGTCTCGGTGGGACACGAGAAATCAGTGGTTGGAAACTGACTGCAGGTAATATGGCTGAGAACCAATGTCAGTAGCACCGTTACGGGATAACGCCTGGTACTATGTTGATCTTGATGATGATGGATTCAGGTGTAGGGTTATAGGCAAAAGACTCAAGTGAGTTGATGAAGTAGTGAACTCACATCGACTGAAGTGGCTCGGAAATGTGTTTTACACATCCCTGATTGATCACCGTCTACCTCGTAGCTTAATGTTAACTGAAGTAGGTTTAGGTTAGAGAAAGTTTAGAGGCAATCAGACTAAGGCATAACATAAGTCGATGAAGTGGTTGACTATTGGTTTGAGACGTGTACAAAAATGCATATTTCGCAGTCGGCGTCTGGATGACAACCGAAATCGGAAGTTAAAGATTCTAAGTGATATGGTCGAGAATTGATGTCATTGGTGCATAGGTATTCACATATTATCTTCATCATGATCATCATAATAACAACTTGTCATTGTTTCATTGCTTTTTTTCTTACTTCTCACGACTTTCCAATACCTTGGATTACTTTCTTAGATATTTCCCTTTCACATTAGGTCCTTCCACCTTGGTGTAGTGATATGGGGTGTGGCATACTGGATCGTTACGTACATTAATCCTGAATGACTGATCAATATATAAAAGATAAAGCATGACTGTTATAAAAACCAACACACCTAGTAGTACACAACGCATACACTTTGAGGTCATTTTTTTTATCACTCTCGAATACTGAACCAAGAGGTTTGTTAAGAAAAATATATTTCAGTATGATTAACAATGCCTGACCATGTTTTCTATATCACTGGATATAAGCATTACATACGATAAACAATCAAACATATTTCGTAATGAAAAGCTTAAGTCATCGTAAAAGAGAAACTTTAGTACAACTTGGTACTACTAGCAATGTATATTAATGGACAATATCGTTTTATTCGAACTACGGCAAAGAAGAGTTATTTGCTGCATGGTTAAACATTTTCTAGTGCATACAGCCTAAACATTAGGATGAAAGAAGAAGTAGGGGGGATAAAACACTCAAACCATATATATATATATATATATATATATATATATATATATATATGCCTGCACAGTCTACAGGCTACAAGACGAGTATTAATGACTTTACGAGAATATTCATCACTAGGAATATACCTTTTTGTGTTCCTACAGCACTGTAAATATCAACTTTACTTGCATGTGCTATTTCTTCGACCCTATTTAACATTTGACTAATCTAGTCACGTTAGAAATATTCTTTTTCAGACAATATAAAAGATAAATATCTTAGGCGGAATGATGAGTACATACTGTTAGCTAGAGGTCCAATCATCCTGCAGTTAAGATAAAAATAGTCAATGGAAAGAATCAGTGATACAAAGAAATAAAAGTTGAATGGACTGCTGATAAACACTGCAATTAATTGGCAGTGAAAGTGACTCATCCACATAGTACTTACGCTTATACAGCAAGGTAAAATCCACAATGACCGTATGAGGGATTCTAATACCACCACCTAGTTACCAAAGTCAAACTAGGTGGAGCAGGATTTAAACCTGACAATCAATCCATGAGTGCTATACGATTAATGAAATTAGCCAACGCTTTACAATGGAGGAAAACATTAGTATGATGAGTCTGAAATAGGAAGAAACGAGTGTCCTGGGTCCCATGAATATCAGTTAAATTTACCAATACAGAGAGAAAATCAATACATGGAGTAATGAGTATAGATTTAACCGGAAAGGAACAAAGAAACTTCCTTAACAAATTTTTTTTAGCTAAAAATAAATAGAGATAGAAAAAGTTGGCCCAATAAAACAACGCAGAATTATAAGCTTATCAATAACGAGTAATAACCAATACTCGTTGTACAAGAAGTGGCTGTCGTGCCTCAGTGACACAGTAGATAACGCCTTGGTGTTTAAAGTGATGGGTACGAGGTTCGAGTCCCGATGGCAACAACATGACTCCTCACTGGGGTGCAGGTACATCCAGCTGATGAGCCTTAAACAGGACGAAACGCACATCCTGGGTTCCTCTGCTAACCACAACCAACCAACTTTAAAAAAAAACAAATACTGTCAGAATCCAACCAAAATTCAAAAGAATAAAATGAACAACATACTTGAAAGAATGATGCAATCTGTGGATGACTTTTAAATAGTTGTAGACGTTGACGAATACGTTTCTGAGCAAATAAAAAGTGACCATACAATTTGGATAATGATGAAAGACAATCTGCATCGAACTAAATGAAAAGAAGAAAAATACTTTGAAAGTACTTGAGTTATTTGAAAAATCTTTTATGAATTGACTGATGGATATTCGATTACAGTTGTTTAAATTAAATAATCTTCATTTACAAACCAATAAGCAATTCGTGTTTGGTGGAATCATTGTGTGACCAATGTTAAGGTGAACTGATGCGGTTATGAACCTTAGTCAAATGAGATGGCTTGGATATGCACTGAGTATGTCAATCGACTGCATACCTCAACGTGCCATGCTAGGGATAGTTGGATTAGTTTGGAAGAGGGTTCAAGGTAGCCAGACCAACACCTGGCACCAGTCCTATTGTTGATCTGAGTCATCTGTGGAGAGATGTAAACTGCATGGTTGAGGTCTCAGAGATGACAGAAATCAGTGGTTGAGAACTCTTGGTGAAATGGTTAGAAATCGGTCATAACGGCGCAGGTGTTTTCATTCCTTGACATCTTCGAAAGGTTGGATATTCGCAATAAGCTTTATCCTCAGATTGTTTATTCTGTCACACAATTTTTATATCACTCTTTTTCTATCCGTCTGTTCTTTGTGTACTACTTTGAAGTGTGATAATTTGAAGCGATCCACCTGTGTGCGAGTTTCTATGTTGATTTTATCAGTCAATCCTACACACAAAACTACACTAGTTAAGTGGTTCATCATATAAATATCACTAGTGCGCATAAGATTCCATAAACAGTAGGGTAGAACTTCTAACGTGCAGTTGAAATCGTTTGTTACGAAATACTGCTAATATTAGTAAAATGCACATACTTAGCAATAATTTATCCACTTACAAATTATCTTGTGTTCTGTATGTTAATGTGCTCACTTCTTGTGCTTTGAATTCTCATCATCAAATATTGAATGTTTACATTTTGTTTGATTTCTCACTAAATGGTCATTGTCACTTCGCATGTTGCGATATATACTACTTATATGCATCGAGGAAATTATAGTTAGCTAATCACTTTACTCAAATCATTCAAAGTATTCAATTGAGGTTTATTTTATTAAAAACATCTGTTCTTGTACTCATAATTATACTGTAATGTGTGTCAGTAAACTGCTTTCTCAGAAGATTATCCTTTTCAAGGGATCACAGCAAATCAGGTTTTGGTGGAAAAATGACCCAATCAACTTAAATCGTCTATTCCATATAGAATGACAATTTACAGAATGAAGCAAGAGCTTCATCTGAAGCTATTCAGCATTAAAAATCGCTGAATCTGCTAAACATTCTTGCGGTGAACGTAAGCAAAGACATTAGCCTAATATAATAGTTATGAGATTGAACCTAATGACTGATTCAGATAATTTATGTTGCTTATCGTCACCGTTGAACGAAACCGATAAACGATGGTCTATTGTCATCTAATATTCTTCACGATGACAAAGGTATTAGATGAAGCATTTTGACAATTAAAACACAACTATTCATAATATCAATAGGTTTACACTAGGTGATGGTGTATATGAGAAATTTTAGAAGAAGAAAAAAGCAAGGAAATGATACGAAACTCATTAAACCGAAAGAAAGCTTCCCACTTAGACAAAAGGGTCATTGACTTGTTGTCTAGACCAATGACAATTAATTAAAATCAAGAATTCAGAGCTTGTCAAATTAATTTCGATTTGGTTATTGAATAAGCAGTAGAATATGCTTTAATATTCGGTGTGTTTTATTGACTAGTAGAGAGATTTACACTAGAATCCTACGTTACACTTCTCCATTGTATATATTAAAGATCAATCAACGTCTCCAGTGTATCTTCATATATTTGACTGTAATAAGAATAGTAACAATGTGTAACGGAAGCGGGTGACAACATTATACTACATATTGATATTTTCAGACAGAAATAACATGCATACTACTCAAGCATCCAGCTAGAGATATTAAAAATAGAAAAGAGTCACTCGTCATACATATTTGCATCTTGATAAGTCCTAAACTAATTTCACAAATAATATTTAATTAAAACTATTTATGTTTACTTAAACCTTGAAATTGATGATGGCAATTCAGAGGACAATAACTATAATATATAAGATTGAACTATATTGTATGTCTATCTTTATAGTGTAATGAAAGTATATTATCTATTGTTTACATCGCGTATTTATTTACATCATTCACAGAGGCGTCTGTAATACGCATATAATATTCAACTATTAAAAACACAGGAAAACTGGAATTTATCTATAAACAAACAAACGAACAAGCAATGGATTATGAAGCTGTAAAGTAGAATGAGTAAACTAATGATTGAATCCCTCTCTCTCTCTCTCTCTCTTCAACTAATTTCAACATGTTCACTTCATAAATTCAACCGGATAACAAGAATAATTCTATGCTATAGCGAATTGAATGATGTCTATAAACAGATTGGTGGAGTTAACTTTCAAATAGTAGGTCGCAGGTTCAAACACCACTCCACCTATTGAGGTTTGGACAACAAGTTAGTAGTAGTATAATTATCAATAGCCCTGATATAATAGGTATGGCTTATTGCTTACTGTATGGATGTACACAAGGTTTCAGTATACACAATTACAACGTCATCATACATAGTACTCCAGTATGCGCTGAATAATTAGCTCATAGAGTAAAAGTGCACGCAATGTAGGTATCTTTGCAGCAAAGTGGCTGACAAACTCAAGTTTTCTAATGATCATCAACAAAATAATGATGCTGAGGTTTAACATGTATAATGACTAAGATGACTGCAATTACTCACGGTGTACTGAAATCAGTAACTATTATCTAGACGTCTGATAAAGTACATTGGTTGGTTATTGGAGGGCAACCAATCTCACTTTGTCTAGTCTTGAGTGTTGACCGAATTCTGTGGATCATTTTGTAATGTGGCCACTAGGTTAGGAGGTTCAGTATCGCGGTGAACTTTGATGAATACTAGTTGGTTGGAGGCAATCAATCAGTAAGAAGCTCTGCTTGACCAAAGTCCTGCGCTTGTTGGCACTCGTCAGTAAGGTATATCTGCAGCTTGAAGGAGGAGTAATGTATCGCCTGAGATTTGAACCCCCATCACTCAGTATTACGGTCAGTAATGTTACCGGTGAGCTAATCAGGTCATGACTGACTTCCTGAAGAAGTGGATAGATATATATTCAATATCGAACTAGAAGCAATGGCAGACGAAGGTTGTTAACTCTTTTCTGTTCTTACTATTTGATCACCTTAACGTTTCCAGTATATAGTAAAATTTAGGATAAATTGAACTCATGAACATAAATATTAATCAGAAAGATAACGATTACATGAACATGTAATCAATAAAAGTTTCTGATCGAAAAAAAAACGACATAACTCACTAACTTCACCAGGTAGGGTCCTAACGATGATACAACATGATCCTCACGTTCTGTATGTAACCCAGCTAGAACACGAAATATTTTCTCATGCGATTTGATTAATTCATTGATGCATGGGAACAATGCTGTACATAAATCTGTACTGTTGAGTGAATGATCTCTGGATAAACCATTAATTGAACTAGGATCAATTTTTGGGAATGGTATCATATACAAATCTCTGACAATTAACAGCATATCTACATAACCACGTTCTGAAAATACTAATTCTGTAATAAAAGTTGAAAACCAAGAAAATCATATACTGAAAACAGAGATTAAAAAGGAAAGGGGCATAATCGAACAATTTAAGCAAGTTAACAAGGTAGAAAAAAGAAAGTGGGAGTGGTGCTACTCAATTCTCTTTGACAAGCATTTTATCTTTGAATAAGAGGAAATCATGGGGATCATTCTTAGTGGCGTTGAAGAAATACTAACCTTGATGTAGTAGCCGGGCTAGAATATCACAATAACCCAACGAGCAACACCGGCTGGAAAGTTTGTTCCTTTGAGATCCTTACCATACCAAAAAAGCCTATTGTAAGACGAAAACCCGTTACCATTATTATAGCATAAATTCTCACTTTATGAGGGCGAAGTCGTATTCCTCGCTGGATGGTAAGTGGTAGTAGTAAGGTATTAGCCGCAGATAGGTAGTACCATTTTGACGCTGCCTTCCCTTTGGGAAGTAATGGGTGGTAAGAAAACGTCGACAACAAAAGTAGCACACGTTCAACTATTTCGTCTCGTACCGATATCAACGATATAGGTTTTTTCTGTCGGGTGATAGAACAACCAAATCTCAAACTAACAATGAGAGGCCTCAAGCAGATGTCCCATTGGATCTGGGTCCAATAAATCTTTTTCTCTTTCACGCACTCTGCAGAAACAACTTCTATGGTGTCGAAATCTGTGCAATATGAACTGCTCTCATCCTTTCGGTTGTATACAAGACACAATTAAACATAACTTATAACTTATTGTTAACAAGAAGAAAGGATTGGATGCCTACAAGATCCATTCATTGAAAGTTAACATGCAATAAACAAATGATAAACTAGATTCCCACCAACCGAAAATTTTTTTTTTTATTTCATTACCTTTCGTTTTAGAACCTGAGGATTTGTGTACTTGTACTGGGTGATGATTGAAGGTGAGCTGAAAATCTGAACCACGGCTGGATTCGAACCAGCGACCACCAACATTTTAAGAAGATGAAATCCACCTTTAAGATCGACATTCATATCAGAAATGGATATCCAGAGAGATTCATGGATAAAAATCTGCATCTGAATACTACCTAGCCATCAGTCTCTTAATAATATGGAGACAACTAAAAAGTTACTTTTGAATTTGAAATTCAATGGACAGGCAACAGATGGGGGGTACTAAAAAACAGACTAATGAAGGCTATCAAAAGAACATTCGATCCCATCATTCTGCAAATCACAAGGAATAGCTGGAGAGAATAAACAATTTGAAGATAAAGGTTAGTGTGAATATTCAAGCTTTAAAATAGCTCAAAGAGTGAATAAATCTGCGCCATTATGACTGATTTCCAGTTATGTCATCAAGAGTACTCAACTATTGATTCCTATCGTCTCAGAATCCCAACTATGAAGTTTACATCTCCCCGCACAGCTTAGACCAACAGTCAGAGACCACATTCATTGGTGTCACATCTTAGTATGGTCACCCTAAACCCTCTTGTAACATAATGAAACTTCTGATTGTGTGGCACATGTGTACAAGCTACTTTAGTCGTTTAAGGTTCACAATCTTATCCACCGATCTGCTTGTCCTCCCTAGTACCCTTTGTCTGACATCCACATTCCTCCTACTGGTATTCCACCATACGCAACATACCTGTGGTTAATAACCTATAATCTCTTCATATCTTTCACTTTCAGCATCCATGTCTACCTGTCGTACAACACAACAAAACGGTCTACAGCATAGTATATCCATCCTTTAACAGGTATTCAGATATGTAATCATTTGGCACCAGAGAAGGCGCTAATTGATAAATGCCCAACGAGTCTTCTGTATTCAAGCTGAGATTTCGTCAGCTACCAGTAAGTGAAGTGATCGACGCATTGTACCACTTCTCTATCTACCACTAAACTGGGAATAGTTGTAAACTAGTCCTTCAGCATCCTGTCACATTTGACAGGTGCGTAAGGCATGTCAAACTTACTCAGCGGATTAAAAAGACCCTGGATTTCGTGAGTATCTTCATCATGCAGGACAATGTCGTTTGCATATTTTAAGTCAACCATATTCCCTCTGGGAGGAGACCGATCCCTATTAAGTCAGAGGCATGCAAAGTTATGCCCATTAATACATTTATAACAAAGTTGAATAGGAACGGCACAGCAAGCATTCCTACTGGACACCACTAGCACAATAGATGCAGCTGTTGTATTCATTGGAGAATATATATCAGGCAGTTTTGGTGTTTTCCAAACTCAGGTATTTCTAAGCAGCGCTTTTGATATCCTCCTTGGTGTAATCTACAACAATCCTTCGAATATAGCAGATATTTGTATAGAAAATGTCTCCTGAACAAAAAAGCATACGGGGACTAAGTGTGTTCATTACCCTTGTTTGGTTCACCTTTTAAATATTCACCACATCCACGAAATCTTAGTGTCGGAATTTTGTTTGTTTAATCAACAGGTCAAGCTATTAACGTGAAGATATTAACTTTCAAGGCAGGTTCAGCTGTCTCATCTCCTTTATTTGATGAGATTCTACTTGTCCGATACACAAAATATGTGCACTTAAATTCATTTGATTTCCTGTACTCAAATTTCAGTTGATTCTCCCTTCAAACTTTGAGCTCTTAAGAAGCGGGGACTCCAGATTCCATCTTGTGACAACTGAAAGTTTCAATATTTATGGAAAGGGTTACTATCGCTGTGTAGTCTTTAAAATCTTTTGTGTTCTCCTCCGGTAGACCTTTTATTTCTTTAAATAAGCAGGAAAAGTTTAGAGTTTACTTCGTGACCTTGAAGTCAAATAGTATCTTCATGTACACATTTGTCAGTCACTTGTTTAAGTAAATACCAAGTCTCCTAGGGTTCCGTAATAATTCTCAAAATTGAGTACTTGACGGTTTAAGAGTTATTCAAATCCTGAATGTCATCATATGAAAGGAGATCCAATAAAATAAATGATTCACTATCACGACACCTTACTGTGACTTAATATTTGTGAATGTATTGCCTAGTAGGATGATCAAATTATGAAATCCAATGATATTTGGAAGATTTCAGAGATTCGCTGTAATACAATTCTTATTCAACGTCTGAATTGTAGATGTTATTCACAGCTTTATAAAGAAGCTAATGAGTGATTACTAAGGTGGAATATGTAGTACATTCAAAGTGTTTTGTTCACCTTAAGATTATTTCAACTACCTGTAAAAAAACAGTCTATAATCTGTACACTTGACTCAAATGTAACTTTTTCGAAATAAAACTCCTTATATTTCTGTCTATTACCTAGATATTGATTCGTAAAAAGATAATATCAGAGTACTTTTACATCTCTACTTGGAATAGATAATATCATGATTACCCTTCTATTAGATTATGAGAGAGAGAAAAAAAAAATCAATGAATAGATGAAAGTCAACTTTAAACTCAAGTGGTAGTTGACGATATAAAACAGTAGAAAAACTTCACTCATTTCTTTCCCTTTCTAAATAATCACTCATTTCCTGACAGTCTTTAACATATAATAAATATCGAAGAAATTAAACAAGAGAAAGCTAAAACACGCTGATCAGTTCAACCAGACCAACAACAACAAACTAATAATAAAAATGAAAGAAGAATAAACTGAGAAATAGTTCAGGTAGTGACAATAAGTTAATTGTAGACGAATGATTTGTATCTTTATAAGCGGAAAGAAAAATGTCATCAATTTACTCTCCTCAAAAAGACGAAGAATACACACCGAGGATACAAGCAATGGTGAACTAGAAACCTTGTGAGATATTCTGATTGAAATCTATAGATAACAATCGAAACATGAAAAAAAAAAAACTCACCCAACAACTCAATACTGCTCAAAATACACATTTCACTATTGCATCTCAAACTCAACACAGATAATATGGCAGATATCCTCACAAAGCCACTATCAATATCCATAAACAAAACATCCTTTGCCATCAATCTCACAATCATATTCTCCAGTGATAGAACCACTCACCAGTTGACAATACAATGCAACAAATGCAGCATTAGGCCATATAAACGAGTGTAGCTGTTTACTCACTCCTCTACAGTCAAGTAGATCGTTCGTATCATTCTCCAGCTTATGCAACACGCTCGCATACACTACACTACACGACACTATCCAACCTGACTGAAAACCATAGGACAGAACACTTAATAAACTCACGATACTTCACTCCACTTCATAAGACCTTCAACATTTTTTATAACCTACCAACAAGCCAGTCGAAACGAGTAAGAAGTTGAGGCATACGGATATGGCTGAAGCACTACCAATTCAAAAGTCTGAACTACTATTGTGTGTTCAATAATAGCATGTACAACCTCTTTCTTTCTTATGGTCAGCCTAGAGAATCGATCACTTTATATAACGTAACTATATTTCGTTTTGTAATCATTATATTCCCTTAGCCATAAGAACGCATATAGACACTTGGTAACTCTCTTTTGCCATGCAATTCATTTTGACGAATGTATCACTAAAAGAATAATTTCTTCAAAAAACAAAACTTTTTTCTTCGCTACAATCATTTTCTGTCTTTTTCTATGATCTTAGATATGCAGTGCAGGATTCTAAAGACATCCCTATGCACTAAGGCATAGAAGAATATAGGAAGTGTATCGATGACCTATCGCATAACTCAGAGTTACTAAATAGGATAAGGTGGGAAATTGTTTACGCTTACACATGATCAGAAGAGATAATTTCGCCTTTGTCTTAAAATGATATCAATATTGTTGCTCACTGAAATTCACTAGTTAACAAGTTCTAACACATCATTATATCAGAAAAAATAACCCCACTGAGATATTCAAATTAGCAGAAAGTTATTCAGTGAAGAAAATTTTCTTTCTGACGAATCTTTTCAGTAGCTGTACAATCATATTTATACTAATAAGAAACGAACAAACAAATAAGTCTATTATTAGATAATACGTCAATATTAAGTGATTAGAACGGAATGTTCTAGGGTGAAACAAAG